AATCCCAACTGAGTTGTGATACCTCTAAAATATAAGTTACGAGTTGGTCATAGATGGATGCTTTGGATCGTTAGATCCGGATCCAATACCTTCTTGTTAAAATTGTATAGAGGCGAAATGTTCGAATCTTTATTCTTTTGGAAAGAAGAAAGAATCACAAAGTTGTTGAGGTTAATTCACTTAGATATTAGTGGCACTTGTCCACAACATAATACTACTCATGCTGTATGACATTCACCGAAGATCACTCTCGGTTGGACTATAGTTTATTTTGAATAAACACAAGTCCGAATACTTTGCAAAAGGTTTCAAAGAATTCAAGAAATGTAAGTAGATGAGTAAGACGTCTAAAGTATTTACCTCCTTAGATTTGATCCAAGGAAAGATAACACTTTAGATGAGTTTCCTTGAAAGATATCAAGGAAAATAGCATCATAAGATAATGAATTTCTCCATTAGGAGAAGAACGAACTTGAATAAAATTTAGTTCGTTGGATGTTATCTATTACCCATGTATAGGATATATATACTTCTAAAACAATATGATTGTCAATTAGAAGATCTTCCAAAATTTTCATAACTCCATAAGATGTAGTTGGAAAGAAAGACAAATCTTAAACATGTTAAGATTTGGGGTTGTGTGCTAATAAGCAATATTTGTTTGATATGATCAACAAATATAACAACCAGTTCCTACACCACAAGCTCCAAGGTAGTCGAGAAGGATTTATAAATCGTCTCAGTTGAATGGTTTGAACTTTATGACTATGTCATAGAGTTACACCTCTTAATTCGAAAGAAATAAGAATGAAAATCCTTATGACTACACTTAGTGGGAGCTATAAGCATCTTATGAGAAAAAGGATCAAATCGTTTGATTTCTCATAAAGATGTAAATGAATCTTTTGTTTACTAGGTTTACAAAAGATTAGTGGGAGTTAATCATATTCCTAAATTTGAATATATATATATATATATATACATGATATATATTAATTTTTGAAAATGAAAGGAATTCTTCATCGTTAAAGTTATGACTTTAAACATTCTATAATGATAGAATGTATATGGGAGACATAGTCTACATACATGGGATGGAAATCTATAATGATAGATTTCAAGATATAATTGGATTATATCAATCCCTAAAATAGACAAGAGACGCTAAGAAGTTTCTCATATGATGATAAACTTCAATTAGAATGACAATTCTAGTGAGACTAGGAAGTTGTTCTTCTCAAAGGGAATGTACCCTTTGACTCCCAAAGAAATAATGCGTAAATAGAATCCTTTATGCATACGCATAAAGGTGATTTATGTATTTCATATTGTATGAAAACATTGATATAAGTTGTACCTAGAACGGTACAAGATGATATTAGTGCAAGCCCAGGATCAGAACCATGGCAACTGTCAAGTGAATCCTTAGGTATTTAAGAAATACTAAGGATGGATTCCTCAAGAATGAGGAAGAATTAGAGTAACGTAATGGAAGCGTAAATGTATTAGATTATGAATCTAATCCATCATAGAATATCTCTTCATTATGAATGAAGTGATAATGAGATATCTCTTTATTATGACTAAAGAGATATTTGGGTGGAAACGTTAAAAGTAATGACTTTAATGTGTTCCATCATGTATGCAAAATATATTGCCATATAGAAGCTTACAACATTGTTGTTTGGATGGGAAAGTTCATTTATGAACTCTCCATTCGGTTCCAACCAGAAAGTGTATGACACTAATGGGGCGATAGCTCAAGCCAGGGAATCAAGGTCTCATCAAGGTCCGAACTCAAATGAGAGACTGAACCACATGATTGAGAATCATGTATAATGGTGACGTCGTTATTCTCAAGGTTGCTTCTATGGATAACATATAGATATCCATTGTCTAGGCCTACTACTCAGCCATTTATGAAATGACTACAGAAGAGGTATCATCACTGATGACTAAGCTGATTGGCTCTAGTGCAAGTGGGAGATTGTTGGAAATGTGCCCTAAAACCAATCATATGATGATACTTTATGGACATTTCACATGTTAAACTAATCTAGTTTAATATTAAGGGCAAACATTATTGTTTGAGCCGTCTCATATAAATGTTATATGCTTAAACGATAAGTCCAAGGAATATGTGATTGGGAGAATGCGATCTAAAGAAGTTAGATTCATGAAACCATTCTTTCGTAGACACATCCTAAACGTTCCTGATCATAGGATTGCCAATTGGGCATTGACAGTCCGTTAAGATCAGTACGTGCTATGTCTTCTCTCAGGGAGAGTGACTAGTCTCGAGTCATTGGTGTGTGTGACATCAAGACAAGTACGTAGGTGCTCAATAGAGAATGAGTTCACTGAACACGATCAACGAAGAGTTCTCATATTCATGTCACATGAGAACTCATGGTTGGGATAATGCAAATTAGTCTTTTGACCTGAGGCATCACAGTTGTCTTGTGGTTAGGTCCTTAATCTTTGATTATGTCAAAGTCACTCCATCAGGAGGGTGTCCACGGCATCGTTGGGGTTAAGCCACTTAGCCATGGAGGCAAGTGAATGCGCAACAAAGGATCTCTAACCTTCAAACTGTTTGAGGGAGAATACTCTATGATATGATTTAGAATCTCTGGCCAGAGTATGAATGAGATGTTGGAATGTGTTCCAAATCACATTCAAGGTAATCATATAAGCAAAAGAATCACATTGGATAGTAGACATGAATAAACTATCAAACCAAACAATGTGGTCAAGAGTATTGTATTAGAGAAAGACCGTATTGCATTTGTAATCCTAAAACTGAATAGGTTCTCCACCTCTTCTGATTAGCTTGGGTAACCATGACATGCTGCTAGGCGTCAACCATGGTTTGTGGAAGCCCTAAAAGTGTATTATCACTAACGGGAGAATTGAAAGTAAGTTTCAATTCACAATCGATTTGAAAGAGTTTGAATCGCCCACTACCTCGCTAAAAGGAACCTAATGGATCGTACACCGTGTAAGGTAGAGATTGAAGATTCAACGGAGATGAGTAAGAATAATTAAATGGTTTAATTATTTATGGCAAGGATTAATTAATATGATTATTAATCAAACGAATAAGTTCGTTAAAAGACCACGGGATAGTTTTGGACCATAAGGCCCAATGGGCTTCGAACGTCAAGTCCATTGACTTAAGTTGTGTGACAACTTAATGAATAATGATTCACAAAGGCCCAAATAGCCCAATAAATCCCATGTTAAAGAAGGAGTGGTTTTGGACTTATTTACAAGTTTGCCACTCAAATGAATTAAGGAATAAGTATGACTTTATAGCCAAAATTCATTAAGGGTTATTTTTGGGGAAAGGATGAGAACACAAGCTCTCCTTTCTCTCTAAAATTTCAGCCACCTTGGAGGGATCATCTAGCAATCAAACTCCTCCAAGGTCACTCATTTCTTCTACAATATGCCTTGGTGTGGAGACTTAGAGGTTTTCAATTTTGGGAACTTGGAGAAACCTTTTCATCCATCCAAATCCATGGATCTAAGATGCAAGGAATGAAGGCCCTCTCTTTGGGTGATTAGCCTTTGCTTATGCAAAGAGGAATCTACAAAGGTATTGATTTCTCAACTCACTTTGTTTTGAGTTGAGTCTTGGTTCACCTATCTACTAGGCTTTGAAGTTCATGGGTTAAGTTTTGTTTTTGAGTGCATATAAACATGATTCCGCCTTTTAATTGTTAATTGCATGTTGTTGATGTTGCTCAAATGAACTTGTTTTTCACAAATTTTCCTTCAGTTTGTTTGACCTCCTTCAGTTTCATTGGACTGGACTACTTGGGTAGGATTATTATTCTGTGTTTGGTGCAAGCCGGGATTGAGTTTAGTGGGATTACTATTCTCACTTTGCCTCACCCCACGCCTGAGAACTTGCCCTCCCATTGTCTTTCTCTCCACCTCCCTCTCGTTTGTCCAAAAGATCTCCAAGTCAGAGACCTAGAAAACCCAAAAAAGCCAAAAAATCCAGAAAATTCAGAAATCGAAAGCAGATTCAACCCAATCTCCCACCTTCGAGCCACTCATGCATGCATCCTGCCTACAACTCCTAAATTTTCATTTTCATTATTGCTCCTTGGTTTGATTTTAAGACTTGCAAGGGCTTTTGTGAGAGGAATAGAAAAGGCAGAGATAGATTTGCAGTGAAGATGAAGAGAGAGATTTGTAAAATCTTCGAATCCGAGACCATCCAAAATCAAATTATCACCCAGGGAGTTGGACAAGAAAAGAGGCAGAGGGAAGAGAGAAAAGGATTTGGATGGAAAAGGGAGAAGGGAGGGATGTAGTGGGCGGACAAAAAAATGAGAGAGGAAGATGATTAAAAGCTTGACCAAAATAAATGGTTCTAGAAAGGAAAATGATAATTTAATAATAAAATATTAGTATATGTAGATTAAATTAATAATAAAATATTGTAAATATAAAATTTAATAATATAATATATGGGTGCTGCTTTTTAGTCCAACACAGTATCAAACGCTTCACTAAATCAGTCCAGCTTAGTCTATTCTAAGCTAGTCCAGTCCGGTGCAACAAACGCACCCTAAAAGTATATATATTATATATACTTGAATAAACCATAAGCATTGGATTCCGTTGATATTAAATCTCAACCGTTGGCTAAAAGGCCTCACCCTCTGTCTTATCTCTCAAATGACTCTGCACTCTCTCTCTCTCTCTCTCTCTCTCACTCAGACAGACTCTCTCTCCTACAATAATCTCCTCCTTTGCTATGTCAATAGCCTCGAACTCACCACTCTCTCTAATGGACAAGGATTGTCTACCCTCCCACTTCCTGTGCCCTCCCGTGTCCTCCTGTTTGTATGGTCATGGTTAAGTCACGTCAACATTTTATATTACCATTTATTTTTGTCTTATTATCTCTATAAAAAAACAATATAAAATGTTGACGTGACTTAACCATGACCACACAAAACAGGAGGGCACGAGAAGTGGGATGGCAGACAATCCTTGTCCCTCTCTAATCCCTCGAATTGTCTCTGCACTCGCTGCTCTCCTCTTCCTCCCTTTGTCACAAACTCAACACGTCGGCCGTCGAGTCATCCACCACTACACCATATTCCAATTCCAAACTTCCACGGTTCCACCTCCAACGACCTCCAAATCGAAGCTTCTCGAATCTGAAGGTGCCAAACTTCATGAAATTATTGTACCTTGATTTGGATTTGGATTCTGAAATTGAGGATTAGGGTTTTTGAACTTTCAATTTGGGGATTTAGAATTAAAATTAGGATTTTTGTTTTGAAAATCCCCTAATTTCAGTTACTGCTTGATTTCTTTGTATTTTTCTACTTTTGAATTTTGATGGACGGCTTCTTCGATCCTTGACTATCTGATTATTTATGAGTTGTCTGCAAATTTGGGATTAGGGGACTGCATTCATTCGATCTTCCTAAATTTGGTTGATATCTTCTAACTGCATTCATTCCCGATAAATGTTCCTGCTTTTGTGCTTAATTTATTAATTCAAATGATGTGCTAAAATTCTTTTGCAGAGAGGAATTGATGCTCCACATAAAAAATTGATCTTTTTTTCTTATCGGGTGCGTTACATTTTGGTTGATCATGTCACAGGAGGTGGTTTTAATGCAGGTAAATTCTAAAGCTTTGGAATTTCTCTTCGTTTGCTTTGTATTGTGCTAGTCGGCTGAGAGTTGTCTATGTTCTTTATCAAAGGAAGTGAATTTTGAGATTGGCATGAACAATATTGCTTTTGTACACTTTGAAGAGCTTCTGCTCCAATTGAAGTAAGTTTTCATTACCTTCATTGTACTGTTAGTGTTAGCTTCTTCCTCACATGATCTGCTTGTTTTCGAGGATTACCAGCCTCATTTCGATACATCTTTTGGGGGGGGGGGTTTGAGTTCAGGGGAGTGGCAAAAGATGGGGAACTTGTGAACTTTGAAGCAGGCATGGACATCATGGATCTTCTTTACGAAAAGGAGGAGACATCAATGCTCTACACCAATCCTCGCTCTCTCGCTGCATCAATCTTTGGCAGGTTTACAAAACAGAATCTTAGTCCCAGTAAATGTTGCTAATTTTGGTTTGTTGTTCTCTAATTTTGTTTTTTATGTTGTTTTGCAGGTTGCTTCATATATCATCACAGTACCTAAACAGATGCTGGAATTTCCAGTTCTTCCTTGGGGTAAGATTTCTAGTTTCCTTACGCTCTTTTCTTTCGTGATGTTACTAATTGAGCTTATTCCTTTTAATTGCAGTTAAGTTTGTAACAGGATGCGATGAGGAGTTTATTCTTGATACCTAAACCCTAATATATATATATTTGGGTGCCCAGATTAATGGGCCACTTTTTTTTTCATAAACATATTAAAGCATGGACACCAATGTATAAAAATTATATAATATTTCTAGAGTATAACTATTCATTGTGCCACCGTTATCTAATTGGTGGTGATTGTAACAACAAAGACTTCTATATAGGACATGGACTTCTATTTAGTGGTTGTTTGGTGGCAATTGAGCTTCTCCACCAATGTCAGTGCCTATTTTTTATAATAGACACCAATGAGGGGAGAGAATCCTACTCGAGATTGAGTAAGGGAGAACGACATATTTGTTGAATGAACAGGGAAGACAACAACTCTAGTTTTCCGCTTCAGATATTTGTTGAGAGAGGACGACAACTCAAGAAATGCAATATCAGATGACCACACACGTTCTACAGGGGCAAATCAATCATTTTACTATGTGAGCTAAACGAAAAAAGAGTGCTAGTAGACCTATCTCAGTGTCTTATTTCGCCACCTATGTTATAATTCCACTCACTACAAAAAGTTAAATAAATTAAAATAGTATTTTCTCTCGACAAAAAAAAAAAAAGCATTTTCTCACCAAACATTATTCCTAAAATAATCTTTATATTGAAATTTTTGTATTTTTATTTTTATTGAGTAAAACAAAATCTATAAAGAAACGATTCAATTGATTAAGATGCATAACGAGGATCACATCTATACAATTCTACTTACATTTTACACAATTCATGTCGTCTTCTCCATCCTCCAGCATGCTACTTGCCCCAATAACACCGTATTCCACTTGATCTACGCCTTCCACCGTAATCGGTATGTGGATTGTGCATAGACAAGCCTTTATCCTAGTTTTCGAGGCTGTTTGCTGGTATTGACAACAAAAACAACCAAATCAAATTAAAAAGGCCAAAGGCATTGGGGACTTGATTTTTTGAAGATTTAGAGAGATGGGCTGTTCTAGAAGATAGGGAAGAACGAACCTGTCAACCTAGAGAGCAGGGGTTTTTCTTTTCTTTAGTCTTAGATGTCATTTTACAAGAGAATAAAATTGATATTAAACGGTGGGTGGGGAAATAAGACAGCGGGGTGAGTTATCAACATAGTAAAAGTACGGGCAAAACTGCCATTCCAGTGTGTGTAAACAATGTTTTTAGAACTGGCTTTTAGTATAGAGTAATCTCCCCTTGTTGAGACTGTTTTGTGACTAGGCAGGCGTGGTTAATAAAAAAATTCCGAAGATGGTTCATGAATTTGGAACCAATCTATGGGTTAAGCAGTTGGAGTAAAAAGTTGTTGAAAAATCTACAACATAATAATCATCATTAATGTTGTCTGCCTAGTGTCCTTTAAGGTTTTCTTGGGTGCATGTTGGTTCACCAATATACCGAGCACTATTATCCCATTAATTATCGCTTAATGTATTTTAATATCAAAATTTATATAAAGATAAAGGCCTAATTGAATAAATGATTCTCGTGGTGATAAGGTATTCGGAAAATCAACCCTATAAAAATAAGGTATTGACAACAAAAACAACCAAATCAAATTAAAAAGGCCAAAGGCATTGGGGACTTGATTTTTTGAAGATTTAGAGAGATAGGTTGTTCTAGAAGATAGGGAAGAACGAACCTGTTAACCTAGAGAGCAGGGGTTTTTCTTTTCTTTGGTCTTATATATCATTTTACAAGAGAGTAAAATTGATATTAAAAGTTGAGTGGGAAAATAAGATAGCAGGATGAGTTAGCAGCACAGTAAAAGTACGGGCAAAATTGCCATTCCACTGTGCGTAAACAATGTTTTTAGAACTGGCTTTTAGTATAGAGTAATCTCCCCTCATTGAGACTGTTATGTGGCTAGTCTGGCGTGGTTAATAAAAAAATTATGGGGATGGTTCATGAATTTGGAACCAATCTATGGGTTAAGAAGTTTGAGTAAAGAGTTGTTGAAAAATCTACAATGTAATAATCATCATTAATGTTGTCTACCTAGTGCTCTTTAAGGTTTTCTTGGGTGCATGTTTGTTCGCCAATATACTGAACACTATCATCCCATTAATTATCGCTCAATGCATTTTAATATCAAAATTTATATAAAGATAAGGGCCTAATTGAATAAATGATTCTCATGGTGATAAGATATTCGGAAAATCGACCATGTGGTCAAAAAAATTCGAATTTAAACCCTTGTGATGAAATCCGTTAGGAATTAAATCCAAAATTAAAATTTCCGTTAGTTCCTCTGTTATGTTTCCTTTTTTTTTTTTTTTTTTTTTTTATTTTTTATTCCTTAAAGTGCATGGGTTAGATAGCGCGACCTCTCCAACAAGCTAGCTCAATATAACCAAGAACAAGCTTGAATTCGAACAATCCTAGATGACAGCAATGGTGAATCTAGGGTCTTCGAGCCCTGATTTTTCAATATGCTATCATTTTCCTCCAAAATGTATCATTCCATTCATGGTATTCACAAAGTGAAACATTCGAAAACAAGAAAAAGAGAGGATGCAGCTAACTCTAAGTACAATGCTAATTAGGAAAAGAAAAAGAAAACCCAAAAAGCTCAACTTCCTCCCCCATTCTCCCAATTCGATTTCAGAGGCAAAACCCAAAATGATTAGCTGCTAATCATTAGCAGTCCGTAATTCAAACTTGAGGGAGAGATTTAATCCCTGAGAGACAGCTCGAATTAAAGGCTCTGACTTTGGGAGCTGCGGAGGAAGCAGCGCGTGGCTCGGAATCCGAGAGGTCACTCCGCCATGGAGAAAATGCAGAAATCTGAGAGAAGCTTTGGATTGAGCCGAAGGGACTTGAATGAGCTTCATCTGTCACTAATTTCTCCATTGACAGTGGCCGGTAAAGAAGCTTGGTTGTTAAGTGTAGAGCCATGGCCAATGGGATTAAAGGAGAACTAACGGAAATTTTGTTTTGAGCGTATATCCTAACCGACTTCACCGTAAGGATATAAATTCTAATTTTTTCACCACCAGAGCTATTTTCCAACTACTCTATTACCACGGGACCATTTATCCAATTAGGTTAAAGATAAACTATGTCACACATAAGTGGTGAGCAAAATTGCACCCGGTGGATTTTCCTTGGCACCATGCGGACAACTTAATTCAACCGTCTCCCGAAAGAAAGTACTTGACTTTAAAATTGCAGTTGATTCCCTACAGACAAATCACAAATTTGATATGTATGAAATCGAAAATGAGGATTTAAAAAGCCAAAAATAGAAGAAACACAGAGTAATATATAACTGAGCCCACTTACTCCAACTCTAGAACTAATTAAGCTCATTAAATTAATTGAGAAGAGGATGATTGGATTCTGAATGTTGGCTGAAAGTTACGAAACTACCAATTCTATTCAGTAACATCAACTAGGAGAAGCTGATACCAAAACACAATCATATAAAAATATTGTAATTCGCGCTAATAATCTGAACTTAGAACCCTATCATTAATAATTTAATTCAATATTCTTTTTTTAGGGTAGTTAAATTCTTTTTAATCTGTAAAGAGTGTATATGTGTTTGAAACTGTTTACGAACTGGGTAGGTTTGGCTACATTTTACGCTTTGATTTTGAAATATCTGTTTCTAGTCCTTACCCTTTTTTTTTTTGAAAGATGAACGATAGTTTCGAAAACTCAAACTCAAGTACAAGAAAGAGTCCTGGAAAAGGACATCATAGATATTAAGGAGGATCCTCAAACTAAACTATAAATCATGAACAATTGAAAGGTAATGACTAGAAATAGAGTTGTATAGTCAGTTTAGCTTAGGAGTCTCAACTAACTAGATAAATGGGGATTTTCCCAAGTCTGTGGCTGGCTAATTTATCCAAAGTCTTATCCGACAAAGTGTTTTTGATTATTTAGCCAAAAGAGGTGACTTCATCAGCCTTCTCGGTATTATTTTCAGGTTATTTTCAGAGTTTGGCATACAGATAGCTGAACCAATTTTAAATATCACAACTATTTGCATAATCTTGTCTTCAGGTTAAAGAATCCAAGGCCAAGAGTATTCATTCCTCGGCCGAAATCTCGAGATTCAGAAGTCAACGCATTTTACCACATCCATCAAACAAGACATTCACCCGGCCAAGCTCAGCAATTAATTGACATGCCCGCTCAGCATTCAAGCCACCGAAGAATGCAGTTAGTGTTGGAAATATGCCCTGAAAGTCAATCTTTGGAAGAAACCTTTCAGGACAATGAATTGATGTATATATGAATCTTATACATCGGAAGGCAAAGATACTAATTAGGACTATCTCAATGAACAAAATATGTCCTAAATAGTGAATCCATGGACAATGGATCGATGGAAGAAGTAACCTAATGATGTTAGATTACAGAGACCTTCTTCTCATAACCATCATGTCCAAAAAGGTTCTTGGTCATAAGGATTGTCGGAGGGATACTGACAATCCATAGACCGGTACATACTATGTCTGCTTCAATTGGAAGGATGGAAAGTCTCATCCCATTCGTGTAGCGACACTAAGACAAGCATGTAGGTGCTCATTAAGGGAATGAGTTCACTGAACACAATCGAACGAGAGTACTTGCATGGAGGTCTACTCACATGTCAAGCAAGTAACTCTAATGGTTGGAATAATGTAAGTAATCCTTTGACCTGAGGCATCGTCGTTGTCTTGTGGTTAAGTACTTAATCTTTGATTATGTTAAAGTCATTCCATACGCGAGTGTCCAAGACATCGTTGGGGTTAAGCCACTTAGCCATGAAGGCAAGTGAATGCGCAACAAGGAATCTCTAATCCTCGATAAGAAAGGATGAATACTCTAAGATATGATTCGGGAATCTTCGGCCGAAGTATCGAGCGTAATAAAGGAAAGCGTTCCTATACGTCTCAATTGAATCGTATAAGAAGGAATAATCACATTAGGGGTTTGACATTATAAATCCATACCCTAGTGATGTGATTGAGAGTATTGTTTTAGAGAAGGATCGAATTACATTGTAATTC